TTTCATAAATTCTAAATTGCTGAATCCGAGTACTCGCCAAAAGCAATAAAAACAAAAATTTATTATCCATTTCACCCTCAAAATCAACAAACTTGTCAGCCCTATGGTTGACAAATGCTAATAGGGAATGTTTATAACTTGGAGCAATTCCCTAGAAGCACGTACAGCTGCTTGCATGGACTCGGCATGCTTTGTGGCTATGTAAATAAATAAATAAATTTCAAGTCAACTCTCAATGAGCATGTTCGCTATGACTGCTTTAATGAATAAATGATTTCTAAAAAATCTTATCTTTCGGAATTTATTCCATCTTTAGAGCAGTCTCCCATGGATGCTATCACAGGCAAGCCAATAACTCGTAGCATTATATATATAACAACATCGTACGCAGTAAGTTATCACATAACTAAATCGCTCTGTAAAATGTTATCCTTCATGTCGTTGCTCTCCTTTGTTACTGCGGTCCTTCTGTTAAGCTTGAGCAATGCACAAATAATGTTTGGCTTTTACAAATTTGTCTGCCCTAATGCTGAATATGTTGTTTATAATGAAATGGTGGACATCCTTTCTGTAGCTCCAAGCCTCGCTGGTCCTTTGCTGAGGATGCATTACCATGACTGCTTCGTTAAGGTAAACACTGCAGTTCGAAAATATATATTGCATCAGGGATTTTTTATTTTTTATTTTGTACGACATGCATTCAAAATTATCTTGAATTGATTATTCATTTATTTTAATTTTTGCTTCATGGTTTTGCATTATCTTATCGAGTATGAGAATTTAAGTGAAAAAAATTTCAGGGATGTGATGCTTCAATACTGTTGAATCCTACATCAAATAATGTTACAGAGAAAGTTGCGGCTCCAAATTTAAGCATTAGAGGCTACGGAGTGTTCGATCGAATTAAGGAAAAATTAGAAGAAACTTGCCCTGGGATTGTCTCTTGTGCAGATATTGTAGCACTGGTTGCAAGGGATGTGGTTGCCTTGGTATGTGCTATTTTTTGTATAAGTATAGATTTGCTTCTAATGCATCAGAAAATTATTATTGTATTCATAAAGATTGCTTAATTGTTTTTAGGTAGTAGTAAGTTAAGCTTTTTAATTCATGCATTATGTTCGACTTGGGATAAGTTGAAAACATTCTTGTGTAAGCAGACCATAACAAA